TCGAGGTACCCCTTTACGTCGCCATAATACATCAAGATATAGTGACCGCAGAATTAGCCGTGTTCATTATATTTGCATAGGTGTTGAGTTGGATTGAAGCTTGAATTGATCAAAATCTCTGTCATAAAATGAGAAAATAGAAAAAAATGTCAACTTTGTCATGTTTGAGTTTATCCTACACAATGTTTATTATCATTTTCTCTACTTCATATTTGGACTTTGACACAAAAAATTTAAGCCAGTTTTTTCAACACGGCATTGAATGTTTTTTTTTTCGATTATTACAACTGAATTTATTAGCTGACGTTTATGTTACAAATTAATAATTATAATTTTCATTCACTTTCCCTCGTTTTTAATTCATATTTTATATAATTTATTATACCAATGGCCACTCTCGCAGCTTATAGTTATTTTTTTGTTACAATATTACCATGTGATTGCGCAAAATCAAATTATTTTCTTCATCGTGCACGTTCAGCCTGAGCTTAATATGTAAAAATCAAAAAACCAAACACACAAATAGGAGAATCACCGCAGTTTTTGCGAAACCCAAAATCAATTTGATCGTCGCTTTTGGCGGCCGAATCGATTGCATCGTTTTTATATTATACATTTTTCTAATATTCAAAATAGAAATTATACACGTTTAACCTATTTTACAGTGTTCAGATATACGTTGCACAACGTCTAATAATAACATTGCGGTTTTAGAATCAAAAATAATAATACATGTAGTATAGGCGGTAGGCACTTTTATTGTAGTAATATTCCATTGCAATGTTATATACTTACAATTTGTAATTTAAAAAAAAAAATGATTGTTTTAAGCCGTTTGGTGTTTACATTGTCGCAGCTGCTATGTTTACTGGAATGTCGCCAACAAGTATATAATATCATATTATATACGATTAGGAATTATTGTCAAGTCCGGGCATTATAATAATATGATGTAGTATGATCTCTTACGAGCGCTTTAAGATTGTCTATAAGCGGATTTTACATGGAAGCGACGCATCGCAAGTCCAAAACAGTCGGTTTACGAGCTCGGTTGACACACTATTTATTTACTATACATATTTTACTCGCTGTATGTGTAACCAATGGTTGCAATTTGTGAGAAATATGTATACATATTTTTTCTCAACAATTTCCAATCGTTCCGAACGGTCGAAACGCAAATACGACTCGGACGAGTCGCGTTAAAATAGTTAAAACGATTACAAAAATATATTATTATCAATGTCAACGTCCAGTGTGCATATACATGTGAGTATGTCTGTATTACTTTGTCGTAAGCCGCATACAAAGCTTGAACGTCGTCGGTGGTGTTTGGTTTTAAGATTTGCCTTCGACGCACACACGGAAGGGTTAAAAGTCTTGCGCACTTCACCTCACGGCATAAGGGCTATGGACGAGGGGTGGGGGTGGGGGGAGAGCTGGCAAAAGTCAAAATGGCGTAATTATGTTGACCGAAGGGTCGAACCACTTATTGTATTATATATTATTATTATATTGTATGTAGGCTCGGCCAGAGATGAAGTGTTCGGCAAACAACGGGCGGCAGTACTGTATAGTAGCCGTCGAGGGACCGTATTAAATTATTTCAACATAGGAGTATATTTTAGTCGTTTACCCTCACCCCCTCCCCTCTGTCGGTCTGCTTCTCTTCTTAACGTTTAAACCGGAAATGATTCACACGAGTGCGACGTGTCCGACGCACATCGATCGTGTGTGTAGTTATTATGGATAATACGGTATCTATCGTTTGCTAGCCGAAAAAAAAAAAAAAAAAAATACCCTAAGCCCATGCGCCCAAAATTTTAAAGTATAGGGTGGTGGTGAACCGCGGCCAAAAAGGGTTGTGCTTGTTTTTGATGTTTACTTCGATTACGGTCGAAGCCGCGTGTAAACATTGTGTACACACTTACACGACGGCGTCAATTCGCGTGACCGTCGCAATACACATGTAAGTATACACACACATGTACATAATATTTTGAAAATACTAAAACGTATGGCCGAAACGCAGTTAAATTATTTATGTGCACACAAGGCGAACCCGTCATTATATTGTGTCGTATACACGGTTGTTACGCTCACTTTACATGTCACATTATTATAAATAGGTATAGTAATGTATACATATTACTTAAGTTTACACCGGCGGTTCGGGATATACATAGATAATGTTATTAATTACTATATACACATTACCTACTCTTGTCAGGTGTCTTCTCGCTGTCGTCTAATTCTTTAATACACACACACTCCAGACGGCGTGCAATGTAATGGACGTGCAGATGGCAAACGTAAAACCGATTTTTATAGGTTTTTGTTTTTCTATGCTATTATGTTTGTACCTTTACACTGGTAAATAGGTTTTGGGGTTATCTCGCGGGCGCCAACCGCACCGGCGCTATCGTTGACTACTTGGGGAGAAAAAAAACTAGCGCCGTAGAAGAATAGTAGTAGCAAAGCGGGACATATATTGCGGTTTGCAAGTGGTGATAAATTTAAAAGTGATGTTTCCTAGGAAAAACCAAGACCAGTTATCTCGTTTCGATAACAAATTACATTGAAAAAAAAATAACATGAAAAAACGTTATCTAATTACAAAACAAGGGAAATTGACAATTCCTTTTGGATGGAAACTTAAGAATTATTTTCAAATTTGGCCCATAGAGTCGGACGGAGTGAAATATACTAGTGATTTTTTTCTTGAAAATTAAAACTTGGGAGACCGTACATCTATGCAAATATAATTCAAATCTAAGCGCACTATTTCACCTGTACATAGGTGGTCCATCTAAAATTATGGTTAAATTTCTAGTTGGCCCAACTAAACATTTAGTCGGCCCAACTATTTATTTAGTTACTCCAACTAGTACTCAACGATAATTATAAGATTTAGCGCCACTATACAGTTTTTACTAGAAAATAATTATTTCCTTAGGACAATTATTGTTGTTGTTGTAAACGTATACCGACCGAATGGTGTTGTACACCTATCTCGTGCGGATATAATCGCGGATAGTGGCAATATTTTGCGGGAAATCCATCCGGATGTGTGTATATAGAATATAATAACGCTGTCTCGAGTTGATCGCGGTCTCGGAGATAAATTGAAAAATGCGTCATGTATGCGATATAGGGTGTGTGTTGTGTGTCTCACGTCGTTTCGCCAGAGGGTTCATATGTGTATGTATGTGTGTGCACACAGCGATCCAGGAGGAACCTTTGCGTTATATAAACTTGCATAAATCATAGCGGTCCCGTGGGATAGTGCACGCACGGGCTGTGTAGGCTGTGAAGCTCCAGCAAGAGAGAGAGAGAGAGAGAGAGAGAGAGACATCATTTACTTGACACTGACCTCATATTCGCGTCTCGCCCGCTCTCGGCTGTCAGGGCCGCCCCACGAGGGTAATTTTAATCTGTCAAAAAAAAAAAAAAAGGAACGTCGCCCCGGAAATAACCGTTTCGTTTTATATGGCAAATAATATTATTAGGTATTTTTTTTTCTTTCCATAAACGTTATATATTTCAAATAGTCGTCCCCGCCGCCATAATGATCGAGCGCGGCCCGGAAAAATATTATAATATAGTCTGCAAAGTGAACGCATTATTATTATCAACAGGAATACAATATGTGATAAAAATATAAATTTATTACCTCCGAGGATATATGATGTGAAAAAAAAGATGCGCCACGGCAAAAGGAGAACGCGCAATTTAATTTACTCGCTTTGCGGCTGACGTTTGCCTTGACGCGCTCGGCTTTGTCAGGAAATATTATACTTACAAAAAAATACACCACCTCACTTGTATTGTGTTTAATAAATTTCACTTATGTTACGGGTTTTTCAATTTTGAACGCGTCAACCCCGTTGTCATAATCTCATAATATCAATTTGGGGTTGTGTTTTTATATTACCATGGTCTCTTCTCAACGCACCTATACCACCGCCACGGTTATATTTTATAACACACACGGTGTAATAAATAATAATAATAATAGTAATTGATAACAAGGTTCCTATTTATTGTTCGGCAGTTCTATTTTATTGTATAATATAGATTTAAATATAAATATTATCACCCATAGTGTTGATTTTGCCAAAGTCAAACAACCGGCACCGTTGTTGCAGTATATTTTGCACATGTATAATGTATATAGGGCAAGACAAATATTATAAATTTCTTTTTTTAACGCGGATTCTTTCGGTTTATTTATTTATTATTATTTTTTCTTCCAAAAACGGCGTGTCTAATTTAAAACAAACACAAGCTCATCGTCACACGGCTGCTGCTATACTATTGTTGTTCGGGACGGTTGTGCTATTCGAGTGCGCTGTATATGACAGGTGATACTCGTGATGTCGAATTATTATTATTATTGTTATTTAACGATGATGATTTTCGAAAATGAAAAATCGTATTGAGCGGTGGCCCCTAGAAGTTAATATATATTATATACAGATACTTGCACACACGTATATGTATATAAAAAGGGCACAATAGGTTCTCTTATACACACACACACACACATACCAAATGACAATGACCCATCATCTCAGCCTCGGTCTGTATTATTACGACATTAAGGGCCGGCGTGTATAAGAGCCGTTTCGTCATTACTATTATTATTTCAATATTTTTCACACCTATTCCAAAAACCGATCCGTGTACACATGGTGTGTGTGTACAATGACTTTGGGAGACTTCATTAAACGACAGATTGACGTTTGGAACAATAAAGGGCGAATCGGTGAGCGAGAGAGAGACGGAGAGATGACAGAGTTTGTTCAGTTTGTTTTTCGATCCTTTTGTACAGTGTCGTTGGATAAAAAAAATGAAAAAATGAATCGCGACTTGAACGCGGTCGTTCTCACGGTCTTGGCGGTCTTGGGTACTTGGCGACCGGATAAGTTGAAGATTTTTGCTTTTTCTTAGATGTTAAAATTTATTAATTTTTGTTTTTTTTTCGTTTGTTATCACAGGCCATCAGATGCACTGTACCGGGCTGCGTGTGCGATTGTTTCACACCGGGCAAACTACACATTCGGTTTTGCGACGCGTGCGGTCACGGATGGGTCCCACACGGTAAGTGCACTTAAATATACAATATAAACAATATTGATATGATAATAATAGGCACACGCAGCGTTAAGCTGGCTGAAAATCGCCTCTCTCGATATCATTACCCGCATTTGTAACGCGAATTATGACTATATATATTATACACGGGGGATGGGGGTGAGGTCAAACCTGTATACATTTATTATACACAGAACGCAGTTATTGTTATTTTTAGGGTTACCGTCTGAGCGTCTTATGCGCGGACACCCTTTCAAATAGGCGATAGCGCCTATGTAGTCGTTTTCTCCTTACACTCTACTTGGGTTTTTCCCCGGTCCAAGTCGTCCGGCGCGCTGTTTAATAAAACATGTTGTATGTATGTATATGTAGAGGTATACAGCGGCGGCTCCCCCGGGACCGAGCGAAAATCGATTTGACCAAACCGCCACCGACCCTTATATATTATATAGTATGTATATATATATATATAAAACAGAATTTTTGCCGTTGCCAAAGTACGGGGCGCGAATGACCCGCGAATCCGAAATCAATTGTTTTTTTATGTAAGTATATTCAGGCCGGCGGTGGTAATATGCTAAAGGCGCCTCGGGATAACCTCAGTGTCAAAGACGACGGCGGTAAAGGATAGAAGAAAAACGGCTAGCAGCGAGGGTGTGCGCAATTAACCAAATGGAACCCAGTGGAGGATTCCCCACAGTGCGATATTGCATCTATCACCGCATCGGCATAGTGCTCTGGCTGGCTATGTATGGAAATGAGCACAGCCCGCGTTAGCATATCCAACCGCTATATCCTGCCCAAGGATCCGCATAAAAACCGCATAAATATAAGTGTCTTCTCTTTATTTTCATTTTTTTCCCCCCTCGTTTCTTGGCCACCTAAAAAAAAAACTACTACAACCCGGCGATCCTACAAATGACCGCTGCGTAGGCGCCTTTTCCTATACACACACACTCTTGTTTATTTTAGCACAATATATAAATCGTCCGAGGCATTTTATATGTACACATATATACTAAACAGCGTGTCGGAATGGTTACAAATTGAATCTATTATGTTAACAAATACGAAAATAGGTATAACAGGGTCGTTTTGTCGGCGCAATTGCCCTCTATTGGGGGGGGGGGGGCGTCCGTAGTTGCCTCCGTAAGTGGATTGATTCGGACATCGGATATACATATGCATAGGTACCGATGGAATTTGAATATCAATCGGTCGTCTGAATGATTTATAATTTCCCGATCGCGTTTACTAGAGCACAGATGAAATTAAACCAGATATAGATAGTGCATTCAACTGTTCGGCCGTGGCGGGCTAACGCGCGTTTAATAATTATTATTATATTATGCTTTCCGTTGACCGCGTCCGACATATTCTTAAAATGTGTATATTTTCGCACAAGTCAATTACAGTAGAAGAAGAAAACGTCGTTCCCATGATAACATATAGACTCGGGTCGGTCGTCCGGTCTTCTTTACTATATCACACACACACTAACAATATATAGTAATAATCATAATATTATATTAAGAGGTGTGGTCGTTTCGGAAGGTAGATTTTTCGTAAAAGCATGTTTCTCGCGTGTAGCTTGACCACACGAACAAAAGAAATCCACGCACACACACTCTCGACCAATTATTATTCCGTTTCTCGGTTGAGAACAGAGTTTTTTTTTTTTTTTTACTTATTAATTAAAAAAATATCCCACTCGCGCGGTCCAACGCGCAGACATAGCGGGAATTAATTAAAAAAAAAACACAAGAAAAACTTTATTATATATGCATATTATAATTTATACTTGCGGTGTACACCGCAACAACAACTATATCATTATTATACGTGGCTCTTTACCCGAGTAATAAACACTGGAAAATCCCTCTCGGGCGATACACAATCATATTATTCTAATTAATACATACATAATATATAGTATATACGTATATATTTCACAATTTCCTATAGTAATTATATACAATATATACTCACGAGAAAGGGTGGCGGTGGTGGTGACGCCGAAGGGGAGAGAAGAAGGGTGGGTAGGAAGGGGGGGGGACGTCGGAGGTCCTCGGGCGTAATTATTTAACTAACCCCGTGCGCGCGGAATGACAAAGTGATTTCCACGCCCTTCGATTTATATATTATATATTGTATTATACTTATATATATATATATAATATACGTGTATATAAGCCTAGCTGCCAGCCGCGTACGAACCCTGTCGATGACGTACGTACCTCTGAGGAGACCGTGATTGATGGTGGTTACCCCGTTCGTTGCACACACAGCCCGACAGTACCTCCCCTCGGATCCCGGCTCATTGCCAAATACCGAACCGATTCTGTCGGTATTAATTACACGTCGTTGCTGTTAACTGGACACGCGCCCGCCTTCCCCTATATTTTATTAAACGCCGCTGGCCGGGCCTGGTGTGGAAAAAAATAAACGGTCGGGGAAACGCGGAGAAAACGAAAAATATAACATATTGTGCGACGTGTGCTACTCCCTCCCCTCCCCAAGTCCGCAAGCTGCATACCTGAGGGATGGAATTATGATGATAATTTGTTGACGTTGCTCCTCCTTCCTATGTATAATATTTTATAGTAATTACAATAATAGTATAATATATACGTATCCAGTGCTGAAACCGCCGCGCAGGTCGTCAATATTAGCTTTTGTGTTTTATAATAATATGCGCAGATCAGGGCCCGCCGGCCTGGATAATTTCCCCTCTGGTTGCTGTACACACCCTCTCCTTGAGCTGTTGTATCTATAATAATATGCATTGCCCGGACGAGAACGACATATAATATTATTATACACACTCTGTTTGTTCTGCGTCAGCGTCTCGCGCTGCATAAACCTTTATGTTGTTTACGTTGTTACTGCTCGCGCTCTGTATATACATACACATATAATGTACATAATATATAAATTATATTAGCCGTTTTGTGCACACAGCTTTTGTCTTGTTAAACATCACCTCGCCGTCTATCTCTTTTCACTGGCTGCTCGTCCTTATCCCTGCGCCGTCTGCGAATTGTTCCTTTCAGTCGTCGCCCGCTGTTTTTGTTTTTTATATTTGTTTTTTAACATTTTTGTCCGCCCACATAATTGGTCTGTGTGCACTGCAATCGCACATCGCAAATAGCTAAATATAAAATAATTTCGACCTAGCCGCGTCCGTCGCCGCCGTTCGGTGCAGTACAAAAAAAAAAACTACTACCTCCTACGCTGCTTACGGTTTAAGTCTGGCATTTCCAATAAAAAAATATAAAAAAAATACCCCGTTAAAACTATTAAGAAGAAGAGATTGATTCGCTTACCGCTCGCACGTCCACTGTCTAATGTACAGAGACCGTTAACGAGCTACACTATCGGCGATTCGCTTCGGATAAGACATAATATTATTACATCTTACTGTAATCTTCGAAAAATTGGCCAGCAATAACCAAATTATATCATGGTTATAGTCTTTTTTTTTTTTTGGTTCAAACACTGAGATGGAAATTGTCTGGAAAATATCACATTTTTTTCTCTCTAATAAAACCAGTTCAAAGTGAAAATATATTTTTTGTGGTGTCAACTTCGGTTTTATCTATATACTTCCAAATAATTGTCGTTGTGGATAGTGACAAAACCTAACCGATTAACAATTTTGGCCGACAGAGATGTCCAATCTCGCACTTATTTATATATTATGATTTAGAAAATAAAAAACGGACCTCGGTTGCCAGTTTCCATTTATTATGTATGATCGGCGGAAAAAACGACGTCGGTCAGCAGTTGCACGCGTTGTACAATAATATATAAGCGTTCATCTTAAATGTATACCATCGAAAAGCGCAAACCGTGCAGGACTTTCTTAGTGTGTGTGTGTATAGGTATACTTGTATTTCGGTCACGTACCGCCGCGGGTCTTGCGCCACTATAGTATAGTGTAATATATATTATAGCGTTTGTGCGGTGTTCAGAAGAAGAAGAAAAAAAATGGTAAACGAAAAATGTTTTATATGGCGTTTGTGAATGTGTGTGTGTGTGTGTGTGTGTATAATAATAATATATAACACTAGCCGGCACAAGAAGAAGTCCGGTCGGTCAAATCTGCATGATTGGGCTAGAGGGCTGCGAAGGACGCGCGATTGATGGGTCTCCAAGGAGTTGCTTATCGCGGCTATTCCTTCGCACGGCCACCCTCTCTGGATATAGACACTTATACACGAGCTTGGGCCCAGATAAAAACACATCATATACCTATACATATACATATATAGCCTCTACGATAATATTCTGGGTTGCTTTATTCTTATTATTTTGCCGGCGTACACGACGCGTTATAATAGTGTAATATAGGATATATATATATATTCCCCCTGCGGTTCCACACGGTGGTGCAACAACAATAATAATAATAATAATATTAAAGGAGAATCTTGCCTCTCTTACCCCGGCCGACTTGTTGTCGGTGCACCGGTGTTAAATGACGTGTCACAACACGGCGGCGATAATATTAATAAAATAACTCGGCCGGCTCATTCGTCACGGGCCGTCAGCGAAACGGCGACAAAGACCGATCAAATGAATCAAAGTCTTCCAAAAAGAGATTGGCTCCCGTTAATACACGCTATAATAGTATTATAATGTTACCCGGTGGACCTTTTTTTCATCCGGCGTGTACACTCGGGTCGGCCGGTTGATCACTCTGTTGGGGCGACTCTTTTTTTGCGAAGATTTAAATGTGTTAATCAGAATCCCAGTTAAGCTCGGACTTAAAACGTGTTTACAAAGTTGCAGTAGTTACATTACGGCCGGTAACCCATCTCTGAGGGCACTCGAGCAATAATAAATATTCAATAATGATTTTAATTTTTTTTTTTGTTGAAATTTGTGCCGTTCATTAATCTTTATATGTATATTTTTTTTTAGCGCTGCCGTTAAATTACAATATGCATAATATTTTTTATCGATTAAAAGGGAAAGAAAAAAACACCATACTCGCTGTGTAT